ATTTTATACTTGCTTCTTTAATATGCTAAAGTTAGAGATTTTATACTTGCTTCTTAAATATGCTACAATTAGAGATTTTATACTTGCTTCTTTAATATGCTAAAGTTAGAGATTGTATACTTGCTTCTTAAATATGCTAAAGTTAGAGATTTTATACTTGCTTCTTAAATATGCTACAATTAGAAATTTTATACTTGCTTCTTAAATATGCTAAAGTTAGAGATTTTATACTAGCTTCTTTAATATGCTAAAGTTAGAGATTTTATACTTGCTTCTTTAATATGCTAAAGTTAGAGATTTTATACTAGCTTCTTTAATATGCTAAAGTTAGAGATGTTATACTTGCTTCTTTAATATGCTAAAGTTAGAGATTTTATACTTGCTTCTTTAATATGCTAAAGTTAGAGATTTTATACTTGCTTCTTTAATATGCTAAAGTTAGAGATTTTATACTTGCTTCTTTAATATGCTAAAGTTAGAGATTTTATACTTGCTTCTTTAATATGCTAAAGTTAGAGATTTTATACTTGCTTCTTTAATATGCTAAAGTTAGAGATTTTATACTAGCTTCTTAAATATGCTAAAGTTAGAGATGTTATACTTGCTTCTTTAATATGCTAAAGTTAGAGATTTTATACTTGCTTCTTTAATATGCTAAAGTTAGAGATTTTATACTTGCTTCTTTAATATGCTAAAGTTAGAGATTTTATACTTGCTTCTTTAATATGCTACAATTAGAGATTTTATACTTGCTTCTTTAATATGCTAAAGTTAGAGATGTTATACTTGCTTCTTTAATATGCTAAAGTTAGAGATTTTATACTAGCTTCTTAAATATGCTAAAGTTAGAGATGTTATACTTGCTTCTTTAATATGCTACAATTAGAGATTTTATACTTGCTTCTTTAATATGCTAAAGTTAGAGATTTTATACTTGCTTCTTAAATATGCTACAATTAGAGATTTTATACTTGCTTCTTTAATATGCTAAAGTTAGAGATTGTATACTTGCTTCTTAAATATGCTAAAGTTAGAGATTGTATACTTGCTTCTTAAATATGCTAAAGTTAGAGATTTTATACTTGCTTCTTAAATATGCTAAAGTTAGAGATGTTATATTTGCTTCTTTAATATGCTAAAGTTTTAACCCTAACCAAGTGCTGTGTGTTCCTCATTCCTACTGTAACTAGCGAGACAACACTGAAATTTCCCCACTAAATGATCTCTTGGTCTTAATGATTATGCTTCATATTCAACACTATGACCTGCCAATACAACTTTTTGTGTACATTTGTTACACATGACCAATTTCATTTTTACTAAATTCAATCAGATTTTCACCAGCCTATTTTCTATTGTCTTTACATTGGGGTGGCATAATATAAAATTAAACATACATATACAACGTTAAAAGTATATACAAGGATTATCCCAAATTTTAGGAAAGAACCGCCCCTTTCACTTTTTTGAACTCTTTGGGCGCAGTATCACCAGAATGATTGACAATTGGGAGGACCAATAGTTTTGATGATCAACCCGGAAGTAGAAAATCCTCCTATATACCTTTGAGACAAAAAAACAAAACTGGGACACTCTGCTGGAGATGTGTGGTAACTTGAATACTATCCTCTCTTCTCTCTGACCTCAGCTGTAGTCAGTTCATTGCTATTCACCCGCTTCCCCATTGTGTTTTATGGCGTGATGATGGCCTCTTTTATTGGTATTATAAGTATTAGTACTCAAACCATTTACCTTTACCTTCAAACAAAGAAAACGTGTTCCATGTATCTAATTTACATCTGTCAACAAAGCATGAGGATTGTAGCTCGAGGACTAAAATGGCACATTTTTGACAATTAATTTTGAGACGACCTCCATCCATTCACTTTTTTTATGGGATTAACAGGAGTGGGTTTCTCTGACGCAGCTCAAATCATTACTATAATTCTATCGCTAATAACACAATTACGTTGCTAAAAATAAGTAGGGAAACGGGAGCTGTCTGTCCCGTAGAGTAGATCGAATGTCACTTGGGTCTTCTCTACCAGACAATTGTAAGACGTTTCTGAGGAAGACAAAGAAGCACCATTATCTAGGAACATTGCTGATTATTGTCAAGTGGATCATCAACAAAAACACAAGTATTAATATCCACTTTATTTGCCATTTCAAAATAAGTCACAAAATGAATTGAAATGTAAGCATTGCTCCTTGCATTCACCAACATATAAGCTACATTAGTGGTTATGTCTGAAATAAGTAAACATGGACAAAACATTAAATACATACGCTCTCTGCCATTGGATCAGGACCACTTTGTTCCAACTGGTATCATGATATTCATATAAAGGCAAGTAAACACCCAGTCAAGAGAGTGCTCAGAGCTAAATATCACCCACCCACCTCCTTTGAAAACATTTGGGCCATTGGCTACGATACAAAAATCCAAAAGAAAACAATACATGATGAGATACTAACAACAAAACAAAAAAAAATCAACAAAACATGGATCTTCACAGCTCTACAGTGGAGACGATGTAGAGCATTTTGAAGGCTTTTTGTCTGTGCGTTTCTGGCGGAGGTGTTTTCACTGTCGTCCCCAAAAATTAGCCCTTTACGCGGCTTTAGCGAAACAAAATCTTACATTAACTTACATTTTCAGTCCTCTTCTATTCAAATACACTGTGCTTTTCCATGACATGATTTGCGACAGTAATATCCCATTACGTCAACGATAAAAACAGCTGAAAAGTTAAAAATTCTAAAGTTGTTTTTTTAATGTACAGAAGTTTCAAGGTGGGCGTTAGCTGCAGGTAGTGTCAGGTACATTCTTTCAAATTCAGAATTTTGCATAGACTAATTTAGCTTTAATTTCTTCAGAGCGTTTTTCAAGGTTTTGTAAATTAATCCAGTCTAGTTTCACATGAACAAATGCACATTAGTTATTTAAAATATCATAAAACACAAAGCGTGATTGGAGGCAAGCAGTAATATGTTTCACAGTGCAGTTTGGTCTATGACTGTGTTTCAACCACTCAACATTGACCACCTGCTGTTTCCGGAAAAAAAACAAATCGCATTGGTTTTTCATAGACTTAACCCCCAGAGATAATTATAATAAAAGTTGGTAAAGTTGTTCAGAGCTGGTCACATGGTTAGTATCGACAGTAAGACTTGTATTGTATTGTAGCTGCGTACACCAACTTTATGGAGAGCAGAACAATTGTAAATGTTAAAAAAAAAAAGATACAGTCATCCGGACCCCTTCTGGACAAATGAGGAACTACATCGAATCTCATCGGTACAGTATATGGGAGGATTTTCTACTTCCAGGTGGATCATCAAGACTATTGCTCAATCATTCTGGAGATACGTCTTTCCTAAAATTTGGGAAAGTCCTCCTATATACCTGTAACGTCACAAAAAAAACAGTCTTCAGTCCACACGTTAAGCAATTATTCTAGTTGTTGCTATTCTTATCAAAGGAGACACATACACATAGGTTTTTGCCTGTGACCACAAACAAGCACACATCCTAACACCCAGAGAAGCCGCGGGGCAGACATGACCACATTCACGACGGACAGAGAGGCAGCACATGATTGACCAGAGCCCTCTTTCCCTGACCACGAGAAAGTCTTAGCCCAACCCTTCTCCATTACCCTCCCTCTATTTACATGCTATTTACATCCACACCCCCGTCCATCGGTCATCTATAGCTGGATGGGCACTTGTATACGTGCTAGCGAGCAGGTTTCTTTGGTGACGGACAATGTTTTGGACACTTACTTTCAGTCATTTCTGCCTTCATATGGACAAGAGCAAGTGGGCAGGCCAGGGGCTTCATTGCAACAACAGGACACGATGCATTCATTATGACGAAATAAAATAAAATATATATAATATCATAAATACGAGCCAGTTCACAGAAGCGCGTCAGAATGTAGTGTTTTGGATTAGACTACAGAGCACCAGGGAGTCCTATAGAAAACAAGGCGTTATTACATATACATTACAGCTTCACTGCAGTCAAAAAACTGCTCACATTTGGCCAAAAAAATCATCTTAATTCGAGCACGTTTTGACTGCATCAATACAAGATTTGCCAATGGGACAAACCAGTTATCGTGTGTTTAAAAAATACAAGAAATGTCTCACTTTGAAAGAGAAAATAAACAGTTCTTGAAAGACTTAAATGGCTTTGTCCCTGTTGGAAAATCTTGTTTTAAGGCAGTCAGAATGTGCTCAAATTAAGATACATTTTTGCCAATTTTTAGCTGTGTTGGAAGCAATTTGAACTCACAAAGAAAAAAATAAGATTCATGGAGTATTGTGATAAAGATCCAGCTGTCATACTCTTACGTTTTTTTGCCTCGGGTGTAGTGTTGATTCAAAACAATAAGAAAAAAATGCAAGGGAAAACAAGAACCAAAATCAACCGGAATGGCATTCAAATTCAGCTCTGGCTTTGTTTTAACAATAGCCCATTCATGTAAAGGGAGAGGAAAAGCTATACAAGCCGAGTGAGCAGTGCAACGTACATGTCCCGGAGTGGCACTTGGTTAATTTTGGCTGTAATTAAGATGATAAGCGATAAGACAAAGACGTTTTGACCAGGGGCTTTCCACGACTGAATTCTACTGTAGTTTCATACTCCCCTATCGCCTTGGTTTTGTCAATCTGTGCTGCAATTAAGTTTGAATCCACGACACGCGTCAAAAACATGACATTAAAATGCTGTGAGAGATTTTGAGGCCTGGATTAAAACACTATTGACGTAATACACTCTGCACTGTGGTTAAAAGAGAGTTACGTACGTTATTTTGAGTGTCAGCACATACAAAGTTAGAGCTATAAATGGTGTGTATGCCGCGTTACTACCGCCTGCCGCACAATCAGGGTCCTGGAGATTAGGAGCTGAGAGTTATGAGCAGGTATGGGCACGAAAGAAATGCAAAAGTCTGAGAAATGTATATATGTACACAGGCTGTAGTTTACCCCTATAAAATACAACATCTCTCCCGGATTCTCTTGGCCAAACTTTTGCTCTTCTTCTTGCCGTTCTTTTCTTTGCTGTCCTCCATTTTGCGTGCCCGGATCTCCCTCATGAGGTCGAAGAACACCTGCGGCAGTGAAACATTAAAGTATTGGACCAAGCTTAGGCTATCGTTTTACAATATTTACTAAAAAAGGTCAGATTGTAGAGTGACATGTTAAGACTAAGACATTCACTAATACATAGTTAATGAAGTAACCAAACTGTAAAGGAGGTTTTCAATCTAATCTACTGCCCTGTTTCCTCCTACCCTAACCCTACCCTAGAGTAGAGAACCCTATTCTACCCTACTCTACCAAGGAATTACCCTGGATACTGGCTTGGTGTGGGTAAGTTGCTAGTATACTAACGCACAATTGTTTTCACCAGTAGGGTTGGTGAAAACAGGACAGTTTACTCATACTGTGTCAATAGCCCAATATCCTAAGTCAGTGTTTTTCAACCAGTGTGCCGTGGTACATTAGTGTGCCTTGAGATGTTGTTTGGTGTGCCTTGGGAAATATTCCAATATCACATAATTGGTCAAAATAATGTGAAAAGAAAATCATGTGAGAAGATTAGAAAGACTTTTTGGGCTCGTTTCATTTTCTATTAATATCTACCTTGATTTGAATGACTTTGCTTTCATACTAAAAGCTACAAAGTTCCATGTTTGTATCAGTTTCAGCCGGTGGTGTGCCATGTGAGTGTCTTCAACCAAATGTGAAGCCTGTTTTCCCTTTGTTGCCTTAAAGAATCCAATTAGCAAGTACTTTTTCTAGGCTTTAATTATAGAGATTTGTAACAGAGGTCAGAGCTACTTCATACAGTTCTTGTCTTAACGGGTCCACTGCAGTACATTCATATACCTAGTGCCAACGATAAAGACACCGACCTTGTCCACATTTGCCCGGGTCTTGGCGGAGGTCTCCACGTAGCAGACGCCCCACTGCTCGGCTCTCGCTTTGGCTTCGTCTGCGCTCACCTGCCGCCGGTCGTCCAAGTCAGATTTGTTACCAACCAAGAGAAAGGGCACGTTTTCATCTTCTTTCACCCGCAGAATCTGCTCTCTGCAAAGATAAAAAACAAACAGTAATGATTAGCATTAATTTCAAAGTGATGGGAAAACAAAATATTTCATTCATAAAATCCCAATACTGAACCTAAAGTCGACTGTGGCTGCGAATGACTCCAGCTCAGTGATGGAAAACACGCAGAGGAAGCCTTCGCCGCTGCGGAAGTAGTTGTCCCGAATGGCTGCGTAGTCCTCTTGCCCCGCGGTGTCCAGGATGTCTATCTGCACCTCCTCTCCGTCCAAAACCACTTTCTTCCTGTAGCTGTCGGCCTTGGTCGGCTCGTAGTCCTCCACAAACTACACACAGAAACGTTTGAGCAAATCAAGCAGTAAAAGTACATTGGAATACAGGTGCTGAAATGGAAAGTAAAAAAAAAGTACAATAATTGTCACTGTGAAAGAAGCAGAGTATAAGAATGGAGGACACAAGAGCACTCAAGATTGCACAAAATCAACCAGGATCTAGTATTTAAGATAAAACTGTTAAACAAAATACTTGAGTAATAAGAATGAAATGAATGTATGTATTTAATCTTTAATTCAGACACACAAAAAATCAGTTTAACACAAAAACAGACAAAATACAGACAAAATTAAAGTAAAACTCTGGAGCTATAAATGCACTTGGTTCAAGGATAGTATGAGTGAAGAATACACTGTGGTCCGCAGGAGGTCTTTGCAAATGTTTCTGTTGTACTTTAGCAGCAGAGATTATCAATAAACAATGGAAATAATAGCATCAGGTGAAATGACTAGGACATTTTCAGAGCATTAACATCAGAAAGCAATCAACAAAAACGATTAATATGGATAAAATATGACACATGAAGCGTAATCTCACCTCGTCGTACATGAACTGGAGAGTGAGGGCTGACTTCCCCACGCCTCCGCTGCCCACCATGATCACTTTGTGGAGGGCCAGAGAGTTCTGGCCTTTCGGCTTAGCAGCAGCCATGGCTCTGTGGACCGGGAGATTGGAGTGTGGACTGGCGAAAGTTCAAGGTGACGCTTATGGACTATCGGCTGCAGTAATCAATCAGAGGATCCAGGCCGCTGCGAGCACAGGAAGTGAGAGGTTGTAAGATCATCACTGTAAGTAAGTAAGTAAGTAATCTTTATTTATATACCGCCTTTTCACTGCACATCAGAGTCTCAAAGCGGTTTACAATTGTTATTTTTTGGGAGCAGGGGTGCCAGTACAGGAGGCACATGCCAGAACTATTGTACATATTTTTAGTGGTAGGGGAAACCGGAGCACCCGGAGGAAACCTACGCAGACACGGGGAGAACATGCAAACTCCACTCAGAAAGGCCCTGGTCCAACCGGGATTCGAACCCAGGACCTTCTTGCTGAGAGGCATGAGTGCTATCCACTCAGCCACCGTGCCGCACTGTTTGTACAAAGGGTCTGGAAACTATTACAGTGTGTGTTTGTCTTCAATAGAGGATGCTTCTTGCAAAATTGTCCAGCAGCAGGAATCAAATGTCTGATAATGTTGCATATTGAAGCTGTAATCTCAAGGCCAAGGACATTTGATTTGTTGAAGTTATCTGTAGTCCCAAAATTAGGAAAATATATTCAAATTTAAATACAAGTTTATTTTTATGTTTTCTACTTTTCTCTGTGTGGCATTGGCTGTAGATTTTTTGACAATATATCTGTATCTGTTAAATCAAAGTGCCTTTTTATATCATTATCATTTTTGTTATCATTTCCTGTTTGCTTTTCTTGTTTGGCACAATGGGTGAAAAGGCAAAAAAAAAAAAGAGTGTCTGACATGGTACTTGAAATGTCATGTACTGTTCAATAACACAACCAAGTATAAATAAAAAACAAATCTTTTGGTCTCATGGATAAGGTTTACAACTTAACAGAGACCAAAAGATTTGTTTCTTTTTATTTATACTTGGTTGTGCTATTGAAAAGCAAACAGGAAATGATAACAAAAATGATACTGATATAAAAAGGCACTTTGATTTAACAGATACAGATATTTTGTCAAAAAATCTACAGCCAATGCCACACAGAAAAGTAGAAAAAATAAAAATAAACTTGTATTTAAATTTGAATATATTTTCCTAATTTTGGGACTACAGATAACTTCAACAAATCAAATGTCCTTGGCCTTGAGATTACAGCTTCAATATTCAACATTATCAGACATTTGATTGAGCAAATACTCTACGACAACATTGACACACTAATTCTTGTCCGGTCAAAAGGTATATAGAGGGATTTTCTACTTCCGGGTGGATGATCAAGTCTATTAGTCCTCCCAATTGTCAATCATTCTGGTCATACATGCTCCTCAAAATAAGAACAGAGTGTGAGACATTTCTTGTATGCCTCTCACATTAGAGCTGAAACAACTAATCGATTTAATCGATTAAAATCGATTATTAAAATAGTTGTCAACTAATTTAGTCATCGATTAGTTGCTAAATAACTTTTATTTTGCCGTAAGCGGCTCATTTCGTGCATATTTTAACTCTGCGGTGACCAAATGGTGGCAGTAATGAGCCACCGGAGGTTTTACAGCAGGAGAAGTAGCGAATAGCCAATAGCTGGCCTCCTTTTATGTCACATGCTTCGCGCACAGCTTCTCTTCAGCATACAGCAAGATGGCGGAGGCAAGCGGAGTAAGCTCGAGAAAAAAAAGGAAAAAAGCAGAAGACAAACCTAATCAAACGAAGTCATCCAAAGTGTGGGAGCACTTTACTTTGAACCTTCAAAAAAGAAGAGTAACCTGTAAACTCTGCGCTACTGACTTGGCCTGGCACGGGAGTACTACGTCTCTGCGTGAGCACCTTAAACCATCTCTCTGCAGTACTGACTGTTTGCAAAAGATGGCGCCACACTCACTGTTTTAGGCATAAAGTTGATCTTTCAAATAATTTGCACAAAGATGTAAAAAAAAAAAAACATTTATCAGTTTATCAACTTAAATAAGCCTTGTTCGGGATTTTAAACTACTTCAGAAGCCCTAAGGATTTTCATGGTGAAAACATTATTGGAAATCTCCTTGTGAAATTTGCTAGAGTATGTAACGGTCAGTGTTTTGTTTTGATGGTCAACATTGAGTTCACTAAAGGATTACAAAGACATAATAAACAGCTCCAGTTAAGTTTTTGATGTGGATATGAATATGTAAAATGGTTAAAATCTCTAAAAAGTCTATGTTGAATGATGAAGGCCCTTTGTTAACAATTTACTTGGAAAAAAATTGGCAAAACTAAAATATAAGTACATAAACCGATTAATCGATTAATCGTAAAAATAATCGCCTGATTAATCGATTATCTAAATAATCGTTAGTTGCAGCCCTATCTCACATTATTTCTCACATTTGAGCAATTTTTCATCACTTTTTGCAGTGAAGGGAAGTGGAAAGGGCGGTTCTTTCCTAAAACTTGGGATAATCCTCCTATCTTTGAATCTGAAGGAATAAGATGATGTTGAGGACTGCTGAGTTGAGCTACCCTAACAGAAAAACCCCTATGGTAAGCAGTGATAAGGATGGGAATAAAGCCAGTTGGTCATTACACAAATTAGTAAAACACCCAGCTCAGGCAAGTCCACATTAGATTTAGTATAGTGTCTTGCTAGCGCTGTCATTCAGAGGTCTGCAAGTGAGGATATAAATGAACCCATCAGCAGTGGGCTGTTCTGTGCAAAGAGTAGTGCATTTTGTGTCATTAAGGTACATCTCTCTACAGAAAAATCCAAGCCCTGTAATTCATAAACAATCTTACTACAGTAATCACATTAGCATAATTGTGTGGTTTGGAAACATCACAGATAAAGAAAAGAGAGCTTTAAACAAGGTGCTCCGCTCTGCTAAGAGGACTGTAGGCTGTGAACTTCCTGTTCTGGAGGCTCTTTATCAATCCAGACTTTTTAACAGTGCCCTGAGAATTATCAATGACTCTTCTGGCCACCCAGGAAAAGCATTGTTCCAGCTTCTTCCCTCTGGCAGAAGATACTGTTCTCTGAGATGCAGGACATCTCGTTATGCTAATAGTTTTTTTCCACGAGCTGTTATCAGTTTGAAGTGACATTTGTTTACTGTTTTTAAATTTGTTTTATTTTGTCTTTTAATGTTGTTTTATGTCTGTACTTGTCCTGTGCACACTGGGAACTTTTACTAATGTATTCCAATGTAGTGTTACTGCAAATGGCGAATAAATGAATCTGAATCTGAATCTAATTGCAGTGCTCTAATCAGTTATTAATCCATGGCTTATGAAATTGGCCACTGGTTAGACAGCACAGCCATGACTGATGCTGCACTGCACATTACCCCTGAGTGAAGTAATGTTGTCACTTAAAACAACACAACTTTGAGGATCAAGACACTAAACTAGCTGCACCTACCTGCTGGATGTAACTAGGTTAGCAGGTGAACACTGTCTGGGCTAACCATAAAGTATTTTAAAATATTATAATTCTCTATTAACCAGAATAAGCTCCAAAGACACTGATGTTGTAAATGTCGATGATCCTTTAGGAGAGAGGCACAGTTGTTTGGGTGTTTGGCTAGCTAACAAGTGGCTAAAAAGAGCTAGCTACATGATAACAAGCAGCTAATAATAATCAGAACTAGCTAGCTTAGCAGTCAAGAGAATAGGAGGAAAAACAACACAAACATCCGTGTGAGTTACTATACACGTATAACATATTACTTGCCTGTGGCGTCGGGAATTGTGCAGATTTGGGCGTGCAGTTGGGAGGAGAAATGAAAAACAAGTGTTGCTAGCTCGCCCGTCTCCGCCTGTTAGCTCATGGCTAGTGCTAGTGCTAATGCTAATGCTAATGCTAATGCTAACTCCGGAGACGCGGCCGCTGGGAGGGAGAGAGCTTCGCGAACTGACTCTGCACGTCCTGCTGTGGGCTTGGCTCTGTGTGACTACGCCCGCCCGCCTGGGGAAAAAAAAAAACCTCTCCCCACACCGAGTTTGTATGATTGCGTTTGTGATGCAAAGACATTTGTAACTTGAAGATGGTTGGGGTTTGCATGTTAAAAGAGCATTTTCAGATTCATGCTGCTAAAATCTGGAACAGTCTTCCTGGAGATGTGAGACAGGCCTCCTCTCTGACAATGTTTAAAACCAGGTTAAAGACGGTTCTGTTTAGCTGTGCATACAACTGAGGGATTTTATATTTGTATCTGTTTTTTTTTTTTTTTTTTTTTTTAATGTACTGTGATTATTTATGATTTTAATGCTAATTCTTGTTTTGTTCAGCACTTTGAGTTGCCTTGTGAATGAATTGTGCTATACAAATAAACCTGCCGTGCCTTGCCTTGTTAGCTGGAAATATATTAATTAGCATAATTGTTGCACACGTGGGAATGTTGCAGGTGTGGAGGCAGCAAGGTAAACAAAAGTGTGACTCAAAAAAGCTGTGCTAACTAACTCTTGTGAACATATAAGACCACATCATGCCTATCTGCAACTGTATTTGCAAATCACATTATTTTTTTTGCATGCTTAAGAGATTTAGAAATGACTTTGTATTCGTCCCACTGGGGAGACATTTCAGTGTTGCATCACAAGGAACAGAATAGTAGGAATGAGGAGCACACAAAACACACAGGCTTAGTGGATATGATATTGCACAACTTTACACTTTAAAATACTTCAGAATCAACACATAGGACCCATTAGAACTTCAAGAATTCATATCGCCGCCATAGACTAGACGTAGGCATGGACTGCTAAAAAAGATACGCTCTAAATTGATTTGCAAAAAGTGTTATTGAGGTTTTAAAGTAGCATTTAAAAGCAATTATTCTTTGTTCCATGTTTCCTTGGCCAACTCTAAAATGCAACTCATTTTCTATTCTACATATGCTTCATATTAAACAACAAAGGGAGGTCTGCCATACCATATTATTAGCTTGGTTTCAATAATTTCATGTGTTTTTTTGTAGAAATGGACACTATAATGACTGACCTACGCAGGAAATATGCAGAGAAGTCTTGGAATGAGACGTTTCATCTTGTGAGAAGATGCATGGTAATGTAGCCGCTATGTGTAAATACTATATCGTCAATTTATATATATATATATATATATATATTTTTTTTTTTTTTATTTATTTATTTATTTATTTATTTATTATTTTTTTATTTTTTTTATTATTTTTTTATTTTTTTATGTATTTATTTATTTGTTTCAATTGTAGACAAAAACAATACTACACATTTTACAATTACATTTCAAATAATTGTCGTCTTGTCTCACAAATGAAAAGGAGTAGAAAGAAGAAAAAAAATCTTATGTTGCCTGCCCCTTTCTTCATACATGTACAAATTAAATTAAAAAAATTAAAAAAAAATTAAAATAAGATGGCCTTTAGCACTTCTTCAAACTGTTTTTATTTGATGTGTTTTTGTTTTCATAATTCTTTGTTTTTTATTGTTTTGTCTATCTTAGCTTGGAAAAGTACCATTATTTTTGTACAGTTTAGTAATTTATCTTGTCTTTTTTTAGTAGATTTACTTTGGTTTTGGTATAGATTTGGTTCTTCTTTACCAGACAAATTTTAGATAGCAAATGTTATTACCTTGACATGTTATATCCTCTGCTATAGCCCAGTATGTTTCTAACCCAAACACTTGTGCCAGGATCTATCTCTGAGCTCATTTATCCCTAAACACACCACCCTTTGTTTGTGACCAGCTTTGTGCGACTTTGGCTCGTCACATCCAGAATTTTAACTTCACACCATAACAAACCCTATGTCTAGAATGACCTACATTTCATTACATTTGCTAAACTCTCCTTATGACATTCTTCAAGTCTACAATATTTCAGTTTCACATGCAGAGGAAAAACTGATTATCCAGCAAGATTTGTCATGGATGGAGCAAGACTGGAGACAATACTTGGGATTAGCATAAAGTGGGGCTTGGCAGTGGTCAGTCTCTCTGCGCCTGAGGATTACTTGGTGGGTTGAAGCAATGTGTGGTCCAAAAGGGGATCAGGAAGCCGGGCCTAGTCATACACTTTACTACAAGCAGGGGATGCGTAATTGAATGGGGTTTTGGAATGCGTTTGCACATCAGTTTGTTGATATATTTTAAAGCCTTGAAAATGCCTTGAAATGGTCTTGTTGTTCACTATTATTGACAATTATGGCGTCTTGTCTGCCTCTAGGATAAATCCAGAAAAGAGTCCAAACCGTGTGAACCCCTGGTGAGATCCATGCAGAGGCTCCAGGAGGTGTTTAATGGTAAATTATCCAAATATTATTTAGATCTTACAGAGAGGATTGAGAAAAATATAAGGTGTATATAGTAGTATATACTAGTATGTCTTAAAGGTGCAGTAAGCGATTTAGTTAGCTTAGCCGTAGCACCAACGCAAAATCAAAATCCCCTCGCCTCAAACATAGACTGTATATATTAACGGATAGAGTCACGCCTATCTCCGCCGCTCATAGGAGTTGGCCATGAAAAGTGCTTTCATGGAGCAATCCAAAATGGCCGCGAGTGGTCCCGCCCACAAGAAAATTGTGAAAAAACGCATCTGCGCATGCGTCAGCCGGAGCAGCTCCATTCATTTGAACGAGAGACTTCAAAAATTCCCCGCGAGTAAACTAGAGTGGACCAAAACACCCCCTCAGCATTGACACACATGTGGAACGGAGCTTTGGGCCAAGAGCCAACTTTTGGACCATCCTGTAAAGACGTTTTTGAGAGGTCTGCCAAAGCATTGGCTAATTCTTATTCTGGGTCCACCCCCACAGGCCCGGGGTGGTATTGCAGCATGTCAGCGCACGTCATTTTGGCCACTTTTGAGCTGGGACCCTCCCCCACTGGCCTCAAACCAAACATCCAGCATTTTCTTTTCTTTGTCACCACAGGGAGAGTGGGCGGCAAACGTGAAATTAGCATTTTCTGTTCAGCCATTTTAGGTTTTAGAAAATCCGATAACTCCGGTGCACACACTAGTGAGAAACAGGAAGAGGGTGAAGGGGGTAAACGAATCCCACTGGTTTGTTTTTATCGGCCCGCTCCAAAATATTTTTCATTATTTTTTGTAGACTTTAGTCATCTGGTCAATTCCATTACTATTTGAAAACACAACTTGACTACTTTTTAGGATTTAGGGACGTTTTCCCGCAATATTTAAAAAAATGGGACTGGAAAAAATCACTGACTGCATCTTTAAGTGTGTTGTTGTGGCCGTGTCTGGTACTCTCAACTGACTAAGATGAACTAAAATAATGATTCTAGTGTCGACCATGAACGCCATGAAGACCCGGCTCGAATCGATAGCCAAACAACAAGGGTAACGCCGTCTCTCTGATGAACATGGAGATACATGGACTGTCTCTTTTGAACTTAGTATTTCTCTGCAGACTGGGCTTCCACGTCACAGATGGCACATGTTACCTGACAGCAGACCTCTTCTACCTGGAGGTGGTGCTGTTGGCCTGCGGAGACGTCCAGGTGGTCAAAGTGGCCCCGCACGGAGGGGCCCCTGTGGTCAGTCAACTCTGTCATTAGGGTGAAGGAAAATCTGCTCACACTAATGAAATGCATTTTGTTTGCAGCCCAGCGACACCTTTCTGCAGCTGTTAAGGTGAGCGTGTGGGATTCTGGCATTGTTTTCAAGCTGAGGATTTAAATACTTCATATAAAATCCCTCATGTTTTGCAGGAATAAAGATTTTGCCATGTTCTCCAAGAAGCTCGGGGATCTTTACAGCCAGTACAATATCCCTGGAGACGCGTATGTTACAGTCAGAGAGGTGTCATTTGCAACAGATATGTATATATTCAGGTACACAGTGTTTTATTGTCTTTTGCAGAGAATTAAAAGTCAAATTGTTTGAGTCCCTGCAAGTCCTCGGAAAAGATTTAGAGCAAATATCGTGTTTACCAAGGTACTGTAGGTGCCACAGAACAAGCTAATGCAAGCTAGCTGTAGGTTTTATGATCTGTTTTTGATTTTAGCGCCTCTGTTAATCAAAGTTCTCAAGTTGACAACATAAACTATGGCATTGTTGGCGCTGTTACATTTGGAAAAGAAGGTTTGTAAAAAGTCTTAAGTTTCTATCTAATGAATGCGGGTGTGGGATTCTCAAACGTCTCACTCTTTCTATTGCAGATTGTCCTTTGACCGTTCACTTCTATGTTTCTCCAGAGTCTGGTAAAAAAGCTGAGTTGTTATTACCCAAAAATAACAACAGTTTAGTGGTTTAGTCACCTCCCAACACATGTTTACTGTGCGGCACGGTGGCTGAGTGGATAGCACTCTCGCCTCTCAGCAAGAAGGTCCTGGGTTCGAATCCCGGTTGGACCAGGGCCTTTCTGAGTGGAGTTTGCATGTTCTTCCCGTGTCTGCGTAGGTTTCCTCCGGGTGCTCCGGTTTCCCCTACCACTAAAAATATGTACAATAGGTCTGGCATGTGCCTCCTGTACTGGCACCCCCACACAAAATAACAATTGTAAACCGCTTTGAGACTCCGATGTGCAGTGAAAAGGCGGTATATAAATAAAGATTACTTACTACTACTACTACTTACTACTGTTGCAGAAGAACCGGTCCACACGGCTCAGCTCAACATCGGCCTCTGTGATGTCACGCACTGCCTCCAGATGGCCTCCTCACTCTCTCAGCCTCCGCAGCTTGACGCACACGGGTACAACCTCTCTTTGAGCCTTTATACCCACTAACTCAATTCAATTCATTTTTGTATGGGTAAGAATACAGACATGCACTACAGGGGCAGACATACACACACACTTATAAGACAAAGAGGCAATCAGACAAAGAACAGACAATGTTGTGGTCTTAGTAGTTTGATCCATCCAGAACACAGCGGTCAAAGTCAAGGCCCGGGGGCTAGATCTGGCCTGCGAGACCATTTCCAGTGGCCCTTAAGGTGATTTTAGATTATTATATTGAATAGCAGCATTAATGGTAATAAGCGACAATGGCATGTTATCCATTACTAAGACAACAACCATAACATTAGCAATAAAAGGAGCAATTGTCTTGATGATCCACAAAAAAGTAGAAAATCCTCCTGTATACCTTTTAATATTTGGTCCGGTGTTGGTTCAGTCCACAGTAACTGAACTAATTCTAATCAGAAAAGAATGTCCAATCCAACTAATGTGAAACAAGTCATATATATAGATACCTTCATATTAAAAAAATAATAATAATAAATGAAACCCACTTATTTTTTCGGCCCCTGACCAAAATAAGTTTGACACTCCTGACCAAGAATGTCAATATCAACCACATTATCTTGTTTGCAGCTTCCCAAAATTTAAGTCTCCAAATGAAGTCCCCTCTGACCAGGTGTCGGCCTGCTTCCTGCTAAAGCTGCAGCCTGCAATCGCGATGGTGCCTTCGTTATGGCACAAACTCAGCCAGATTACAGGTAACTGCTGTGTGATAATACCAGCACTTGATGAACTACTCAGTAAAGGCTTTCTTCCTCCTGTTTTTTAGACATGCCAGTACCGGTTAATGACCTGCAGTGGGCGCCATTGCCAACTCTTCTGAGAGCAGCCAGTAGCAGAGAGAGGACTGCAGAGGACCGGGATATCATTTCCACTGTGGTTAAGTTTATGGAGGGACTACATTTACATACGCAGGCACTATTTGTTCTTGTATTCTTTATTTACCAGATTTCGCTTTCTTTTCCACAAGTTGTACGTTTTACTTAATTTTTTTTGGTAATGTTTAGTTATTTTAATATTATATTTTGAATGTTTTTGATCTTTCCAGTGTCTTGTAGCACTTTCTTTTTGTTTGTTATATGCAGTCTTTCACAATAGCTTCAGTCGTTGTACAATTTCTATTTTAAGTTTATGGAGTGACTACATATTTAGCAGTCACTATTTGTTCTTGCACTTTTTAGTCGATCTTCTTTCACTACGACAAATTGTGCCTTTTTTTATATTTCAAAATAAGAAGATTTTTGTCCTTTTATTTTGAATGTTTTTGATATTTTTTGTGTTCTGTAGCACTTTGTTTTTGTATGTTGTATGCATAGTATAGGTGTGTAATGGTAAGGCTATAATAATGATATGTATTGAACCTTTTTGATCTTTTTAGTGTCTTATAGCCCTTTGTTCATCGTATGCATCACTCACAATCGCTTCCGCCAATGTACAATTCCTAGTTTAGGTTTATCCCACCTTAAAATGAATCTTTATCGTTGCTTATCTCTTGTGTCCAGTCCGTAGCAGAGGGTGGAAAGCACACATATGTTTTCCCAGTGGAGGCGTGGGAGGGGCGTGCCCATAAAGCCACTTTAGTAGATTCTGTTCCCTTCACCCATCTGTCCCACGTCCCCGCTTTACTCGACCTGCTGCGTCACCAATGTGCCATCAACGCCATGCTGATGAGTGCAATGTCCTCCACGTGCAGCACTGCAAGTAAGACGCATGGTTCTGTCCACACAATAGGATCAGAAAGCTGTATTTGATGATGTGTGTGTTGATTCTGACAGGTTTTCCCCATGAGCTGCATTTTGAGGTCCTCCCAGAGTCGGACACAAGCTTCACGCTCACCTTTCGCCGCCCGGACACTGACGGCCTGTGTGTCTGTGAGCAGCTCTGAGTATTGTTGGATGGGCTGTACTTTCTATGAGGCTATAACTAACATCAGCGACTTAACTGTGACATGGACTCAGTCGTTACTATCATGGACCCAGTCGTTACTATCATGGACCCAGTCGTTACTATCATGGACTCAGTCGTTACTATCATGGACTCAGTCGTTACTATCATGGACTCAGTCGTTACTATCATGGACCCAGTCGTTACTATCATGGACCCAGTCGTTACTATCATGGACTCAGTCGTTACTATCATGGACTCAGTCGTTACTATCATGGACTCAGTCGTTACTATCATGGACTCAGTCGTTACTATCATGGACCCAGTCGTTACTATCATGGACCCAGTCGTTACTATCATGGACTCAGTCGTTACTATCATGGACTCAGTCGTTACTATCATGGACTCAGTCGTTACTATCATGGACCCAGTCGTTACTATCATGGACTCAGTCGTTACTATCATGGACTCAGTCGTTACTATCATGGACTCAGTCGTTACTATCATGGACCCAGTCGTTACTATCATGGACTCAGTCGTTACTATCATGGACCCAGTCGTTACTATCATGGACTCAGTCGTTACTATCATGGACCCAGTCGTTACTATCATGGACTCAGTCGTTACTATCATGGACTCAGTCGTTACTATCATGGACTCAGTCGTTACTATCATGGACTCAGTCGTTACTATCATGGACTCAGTCGTTACTATCATGGACCCAGTCGTTACTATCATGGACTCAGTCGTTACTATCATGGACCCAGTCGTTACTATCATGGACTCAGTCGTTACTATCATGGACTCAGTCGTTACTATCATGGACTCAGTCGTTACTATCATGGACTCAGTCGTTACTATCATGGACTCAGTCGTTACTATCATGGACTCAGTCGTTACTATCATGGACTCAGTCGTTACTATCATGGACTCAGTCGTTACTATCATGGACTCAGTCGTTACTATCATGGACTCAGTCGTTACTATCATGGACTCAGTCGTTACTATCATGGACTCAGTCGTTACTATCATGGACTCAGTCGTTACTATCATGGACTCAGTCGTTACTATCATGGACTCAGTCGTTACTATCATGGACTCAGTCGTTACTATCATGGACTCAGTCGTTACTATCATGGACTCAGTCGTTACTATCATGGACTCAGTCGTTACTATCATGGACTCAGTCGTTACTATCATGGACTCAGTCGTTACTATCATGGACTCAGTCGTTACTATCATGGACTCAGTCGTTACTATCATGGACTCAGTCGTTACTATCATGGACTCAGTCGTTACTATCATGGACTCAGTCGTTACTATCATGGACTCAGTCGTTACTATCATGGACTCAGTCGTTACTATCATGGACTCAGTCGTTACTATCATGGACTCAGTCGTTACTATCATGGACCCAGTCGTTACTATCATGGACCCAGTCGTTACTATCATGGACCCAGTCGTTACTATCATGGACTCAGTCGTTACTATCATGGACTCAGTCGTTACTATCATGGACTCAGTCGTTACTATCATGGACTCAGTCGTTACTATCATGGACCCAGTCGTTACTATCATGGACTCAGTCGTTACTATCATGGACTCAGTCGTTACTATCATGGACTCAGTCGTTACTATCATGGACCCAGTCGTTACTATCATGGACTCAGTCGTTACTATCATGGACTCAGTCGTTACTATCATGGACTCAGTCGTTACTATCATGGACTCAGTCGTTACTATCATGGACCCAGTCGTTACTATCATGGACTCAGTCTTTACTATCATGGACCCAGTCGTTACTATCATAGACTCAGTCGTTACTATCATGGACTCAGTCGTTACTATCATGGACTCAGTCGTTACTATCATGGACTCAGTCGTTACTATCATGGACTCAGTCGTTACTATCATGGACTCAGTCGTTACTATCATGGACTCAGTCGTTACTATCATGGACTCAGTCGTTACTATCATGGACTCAGTCGTTACTATCATGGACTCAGTCGTTACTATCATGGACTCAGTCGTTACTATCATGGACTCAGTCGTTACTATCATGGACTCAGTCGTTACTATCATGGACTCAGTCGTTACTATCATGGACTCAGTCGTTACTATCATGGACTCAGTCTTACTATCATGGACCCAGTCGTTACTATCATGGACCCAGTCGTTACTATCATGGACTCAGTCGTTACTATCATGGACCCAGTCGTTACTATCATGGACTCAGTCGTTACTATCATGGACTCAGTCGTTACTATCATGGACTCAGTCGTTACTATCATGGACTCAGTCGTTACTATCATGGACCCAGTCGTTACTATCATGGACTCAGTCGTTACTATCATGGACTCAGTCGTTACTATCATGGACTCAGTCGTTACTATCATGGACCCAGTCGTTACTACTATCATGGACCCAGTCGTTACTATCATGGACCCAGTCGTTACTATCATGGACTCAGTCGTTACTATCTTATGGACGTTACTAGTGGACCAGTCGTTACTATCATGGACTCAGTCGTTACTATCATGGACTCAGTCGTTACTATCATGGACTCAGTCGTTACTATCATGGACTCAGTCGTTACTATCATGGACTCAGTCGTTACTATCATGGACTCAGTCGTTACTATCATGGACTCAGTCGTTACTATCATGGACTCAGTCGTTACTATCATGGACTCAGTCGTTACTATCATGGACTCAGTCGTTACTATCATGGACTCAGTCGTTACTATCATGGACTCAGTCGTTACTATCATGGACCCAGTCGTTACTATCATGGACCCAGTCGTTACTATCATGGACCCAGTCGTTACTATCATGGACTCAGTCGTTACTATCATGGACCCAGTCGTTACTATCATGGACTCAGTCGTTACTATCATGGACTCAGTCGTTACTATCATGGACTCAGTCGTTACTATCATGGACTCAGTCGTTACTATCATGGACTCAGTCGTTACTATCATGGACTCAGTCGTTACTATCATGGACTCAGTCGTTACTATCATGGACCCAGTCGTTACTATCATGGACCCAGTCGTTACTATCATGGACCCAGTCGTTACTATCATGGACCCAGTCGTTACTATCATGGACTCAGTCGTTACTATCATGGACTCAGTCGTTACTATCATGGACTCAGTCGTTACTATCATGGACTCAGTCGTTACTATCATGGACTCAGTCGTTACTATCATGGACTCAGTCGTTACTATCATGGACTCAGTCGTTACTATCATGGACTCAGTCGTTACTATCATGGACCCAGTCGTTACTATCATGGACCCAGTCGTTACTATCATGGACCCAGTCGTTACTATCATGGACCCAGTCGTTACTATCATGGACTCAGTCGTTACTATCATGGACCAGTCGTTACTATCATGGACTCAGTCGTTACTATCATGGACTCAGTCGTTACTATCATGGACTCAGTCGTTACTATCATGGACCCAGTCGTTACTATCATGGACTCAGTCGTTACTATCATGGACTCAGTCGTTACTATCATGGACTCAGTCGTTACTATCATGGACCAGTCGTTACTATCATGGACTCAGTCGTTACTATCATGGACTCAGTCGTTACTATCATGGACTCAGTCGTTACTATCATGGACCCAGTCGTTACTATCATGGACTCAGTCGTTACTATCATGGACCCAGTCGTTACTATCATGGACCCAGTCGTTACTATCATGGACTCAGTCGTTACTATCATGGACTCAGTCGTTACTATCATGGACTCAGTCGTTACTATCATGGACTCAGTCGTTACTATCATGGACTCAGTCGTTACTATCATGGACCCAGTCGTTACTATCATGGACCCAGTCGTTACTATCATGGACTCAGTCGTTACTATCATGGACCCAGTCGTTACTATCATGGACCCAGTCGTTACTATCATGGACTCAGTCGTTACTATTACTATCATGGACTCAGTCGTTACTATCATGGACTCAGTCGTTACTATCATGGACTCAGTCGTTACTATCATGGACTCAGTCGTTACTATCATGGACTCAGTCGTTACTATCATGGACTCAGTCGTTACTATCATGGACTCAGTCGTTACTATCATGGACTCAGTCGTTACTATCATGGACTCAGTCGTTACTATCATGGACTCAGTCGTTACTATCATGGACTCAGTCGTTACTATCATGGACTCAGTCGTTACTATCATGGACTCAGTCGTTACTATCATGGACTCAGTCGTTACTATCATGGACTCAGTCGTTACTATCATGGACTCAGTCGTTACTATCATGGACCAGTCGTTACTATCATGGACTCAGTCGTTACTATCATGGACTCAGTCGTTACTATCATGGACTCAGTCGTTACTATCATGGACTCAGTCGTTACTATCATGGACTCAGTCGTTACTATCATGGACTCAGTCGTTACTATCATGGACCAGTCGTTACTATCATGGACTCAGTCGTTACTATCATGGACCCAGTCGTTACTATCATGGACCCAGTCGTTACTATCATGGACCAGTCGTTACTATCATGGACTCAGTCGTTACTATCATGGACTCAGTCGTTACTATCATGGACTCAGTCGTTACTATCATGGACTCAGTCGTTACTATCATGGACTCAGTCGTTACTATCATGGACTCAGTCGTTACTATCATGGACTCAGTCGTTACTATCATGGACTCAGTCGTTACTATCATGGACTCAGTCGTTACTATCATGGACTCAGTCGTTACTATCATGGACTCAGTCGTTACTATCATGGACTCAGTCGTTACTATCATGGACTCAGTCGTTACTATCATGGACCCAGTCGTTACTATCATGGACTCAGTCGTTACTATCATGGACCCAGTCGTTACTATCATGGACCCAGTCGTTACTATCATGGACCCAGTCGTTACTATCATGGACCCAGTCGTTACTATCATGGACCCAGTCGATCATGGACTCAGTCGTTACTATCATGGACCCAGTCGTTACTATCATGGACTCAGTCGTTACTATCATGGACTCAGTCGTTACTATCATGGACTCAGTCGTTACTATCATGGACTCAGTCGTTACTATCATGGACCCAGTCGTTACTATCATGGACTCAGTCGTTACTATCATGGACTCAGTCGTTACTATCATGGACTCAGTCGTTACTATCATGGACCCAGTCGTTACTATCATGGACCCAGTCGTTACTATCATGGACCCAGTCGTTACTATCATGGACTCAGTCGTTACTATCATGGACTCAGTCGTTACTATCATGGACTCAGTCGTTACTATCATGGACCCAGTCGTTACTATCATGGACCCAGTCGTTACTATCATGGACTCAGTCGTTACTATCATGGACTCAGTCGTTACTATCATGGACCCAGTCGTTACTATCATGGACCCAGTCGTTACTATCATGGACCCAGTCGTTACTATCATGGACCCAGTCGTTACTATCATGGACTCAGTCGTTACTATCATGGACCCAGTCGTTACTATCATGGACCCAGTCGTTACTATCATGGACTCAGTCGTTACTATCATGAACCAAGTCGTTACTATCATGGACCCAGTCGTTACTATCATGGACTCAGTCGTTACTATCATGGACCCAGTCGTTACTATCATGGACCCAGTCGTTACTATCATGGACCCAGTCGTTACTATCATGGACCCAGTCGTTACTATCATGGACCCAGTCGTTACTATCATGGACCAGTCGTTACTATCATGGACCCAGTCGTTACTATCATGGACCCAGTCGTTACTATCATGGACTCAGTCGTTACTATCATGGACTCAGTCGTTACTATCATGGACTCAGTCGTTACTATCATGGACCCAGTCGTTACTATCATGGACTCAGTCGTTACTATCATGGACTCAGTCGTTACTATCATGGACTCAGTCGTTACTATCATGGACCCAGTCGTTACTATCATGGACTCAGTCGTTACTATCATGGACTCAGTCGTTACTATCATGGACTCAGTCGTTACTATCATGGACCCAGTCGTTACTATCATGGACTCAGTCGTTACTATCATGGACCCAGTCGTTACTATCATGGACCCAGTCGTTACTATCATGGACTCAGTCGTTACTATCATGGACTCAGTCGTTACTATCATGGACTCAGTCGTTACTATCATGGACTCAGTCGTTACTATCATGGACCAGTCGTTACTATCATGGACCCAGTCGTTACTATCATGGACTCAGTCGTTACTATCATGGACCCAGTCGTTACTATCATGGACCCAGTCGTTACTATCATGGACTCAGTCGTTACTATCATGGACTCAGTCGTTACTATCATGGACTCAGTCGTTACTATCATGGACTCAGTCGTTACTATCATGGACTCAGTCGTTACTATCATGGACTCAGTCGTTACTATCATGGACTCAGTCGTTACTATCATGGACTCAGTCGTTACTATCATGGACTCAGTCGTTACTATCATGGACTCAGTCGTTACTATCATGGACTCAGTCGTTACTATCATGGACTCAGTCGTTACTATCATGGACTCAGTCGTTACTATCATGGACTCAGTCGTTACTATCATGGACTCAGTCGTTACTATCATGGACTCAGTCGTTACTATCATGGACCCAGTCGTTACTATCATGGACCCAGTCGTTACTATCATGGACCCAGTCGTTACTATCATGGACTCAGTCGTTACTATCATGGACTCAGTCGTTACTATCATGGACTCAGTCGTTACTATCATGGACTCAGTCGTTACTATCATGGACTCAGTCGTTACTATCATGGACCCAGTCGTTACTATCATGGACTCAGTCGTTACTATCATGGACCCAGTCGTTACTATCATGGACCCAGTCGTTACTATCATGGACTCAGTCGTTACTATCATGGACTCAGTCGTTACTATCATGGACCCAGTCGTTACTATCATGGACCCAGTCGTTACTATCATGGACCCAGGCGTTACTATCATGGACTCAGTCGTTACTATCATGGACCCAGTCGTTACTATCATGGACTCAGTCGTTACTATCATGGACCCAGTCGTTACTATCATGGACCCATTCGTTACTATCATGGACCCAGTCGTTACTATCATGGACTCAGTCGTTACTATCATGGACTCAGTCGTTACTATCATGGACCCAGTCGTTACTATCATGGACCCAGTCGTTACTATCATGGACTCAGTCGGACTCCCAGAATTCTGACTCTGCTAGAACTCACAAAGCTGTTAAGTTATTCTTTTTTGTCCCTGTAGGGAAATTTGTCCTCTGCTTTTGACCCATTCTTCATTGGCGCTGGGACCGCTTTTAATCAAACCAAATTCAGAAAATATTGAGAAATTCCTCAACCTTTTAGTTACTTTTTTTAGTGAGTTTTAAGTGCTCTAACTGAAATACAACAAAAACAGCTGACTGTAAACAGTTTGTTGCTATTGTAACTTGTACTTGCTCTTCTCTGGTGGTAAACCAAGCTGACTCAACTCAGATAAGATAAGATGAGAATTCCTTTATTCGTCCCACAGTGGGGAAATTTCAATGTTGCATCGCACATATAGGACAGTAGTAAGAGCACACGGGGAGCACACACAATATATACACTATATACAAATAATTAGTATCTATGTTTCTTACATAACTAGCTGTAGATGCTGAAAATGCTTCAATACCAGTCAAAAAAAAAAATATGTAGTAGTGCAGTTATATACTGTACAGTTAAATAGTGCAGGATAAAAAGTATATAAGTAAAGTGACATGAGGTAAAGTGACATTGTTCTGTGACATTCTGAAGTTGCAGTATTGCACATGATTTAAGAATTTACTTAATTACAGATTAATGAAATGTACAGGCTCAGCAGTTCTTATTGTACAGTCTGACAGCAGCAGGAAGGAAAGACCTACGGAACCTCTCCTTCACACAGCGAGGGTGAATTAGTCTGTCACTGAAGCTGCTCTCCAGAGCAGAGAGAGTGTCCTGCAGGGGGTGACAGTCATGGTCCAGCATAGATGTTAGTTTGCTCAGGACCCTCCTGTCCCCCACCTGCTGCACTGTGTCCAGGGAACAGCCCAGGACTGAGCTGGACTTCCTGATGACCTTGTCCAGCTTCTTCCTGTCCCTCTCTGTGATACTGCTGCTCCAGCAGACCACACCGTACAAGATGGCTGATGCCACCACAGTCATAGAAGGTCTTCAGGAGTGGCCCCTGCACTCCAAAAGACCTGAGCCTCCTCAGTAGGTAGAGGCGGCTCTGGCCCTTCTTGAACCAGGACCTGTCCAAGACCAGCACCTTGAAAAAGTGGCGTTACCTGCCATAGAAAGTTGGATCTGATTCCATAGATATAAACTACATAAAAGTTTCTAAGTTGGTTGAGCGTTGTAGTGGAGAAATGGTCGTACAAACTATGTGGAAACTCGTCTTACATCATCAGAGTTAAAGTTTGTGACGTTGACAGTGGTGGTGGACCTCCCTGGTTCTCGTCAGCTGACCTGCCGACTGTTCGGGGCAGAACTGGACAATCCATCGTTGGAGGAATGCTTCTCCGCTGTCATGAAGAGGTTAGATCTCTGAAGTGTTCTTAAAACTGTCTGAAAACCAGGAGTTGAGCAATTGTGGAAATTTTATAGCTCATGTTTTGCTTCTGTGACTTTATATTCGCGTAGAAGAAACTTTACCTGCTCATTATCTCTCTGTCTCCTCCACAGGACCCACTCCGTCCCCATGACTCTGCAGGCTTTGTACAGTAAGATGATGGACCTCGCTCCCCCCGCTGACGTGAGCATGACCGACACATTCCCCCCGAGCGCAGCTGTGCCAGACCAGTGCGAGCCCACGTCTGTGTCCCAACCCCAGCTCCTGTCCGAGCCCCAGCCGAGCCCGCCTGGCGACCCCCCACCCCCCAGCGCCGCCTTCTCCCCCTGGACTCCCAACAACTACACCCTGTCAGAGCTCATTTAAACCCATTCCAATTCAATAAACGCAGCTACGCATCAAAATCGTGCTCGTAAATGCGCAATTATACATTTATATGGCTTGTTAATTTGCTCAAGCGGTCGAACGAATGACAAATACAAAAGTCAGACTCTGCCGCGCTGCATTCCGAGTGTGGCAGAGATAGCCCCGGCTGTAAAGGTTTTTGAGGTTTGGCTTTTGACCCTGGCTTTCGACAGCCAAGAGCCCGCTTGATTGGGACCATGTGAGCCAATCGAAACGAGGCCGCGGTACCGTAACGCATTCTTGATGGTCTGTAAGTATAGACCACACAACTCATATAAACAACCGGCATGTAAAAATATCACTTTGTCTGCTGCCCCATATCAAACACTTATGCTAACGGCTAACCATGGTCTGAATGCACAATGCCTCTGTTAAGGAGAATTAGCAAAGCAATCCAGATTTATGATGTAATTCCGTCTCCCCTTTAATAGCATGGTTAAGCTTTGGATAAATCCATGTTACAAATAGATTTTGAAACTAATATGCCAACTGTCAGCACCAAACAACTGCCTTTGTCATGAGGAGATCCAATAACCGGTTTGCAAGCTATTCTGGGAAACAAATGTATGTCTATGATTGTTACGACTACTGCTGTCAAACTACTCCAATACTTTGCTTCCAGTATTCTAGTATACACTGAGCCGGGTAGTGTATATCTGCGGAGGATGTCTTTGCCGTTTGTAGTTAAGGAATGTACATGTTTTAAACCAAACTGAGCAAAACATTTAATAATAATTTAATAATGATAATGGTAACAATAATAATACATTTTATCTCTTAGGTGCTTTTCTAAACTCTTGAGGTTGCTTTACGTACAAGTAAATTTAAGTTAAAATACAAGTTGAAAGCAGCATGAACAGAGGATATTTATCACAAGAAGCAGGTATCGGACCACTTCACATAAACCTGGGCAGATGAGGAAGGCGCGGTTTAACCATGAAATCCAAATAAAATAGAATTGAATGATATGTGGGCTTTGTGTGGTGTCAAAAATGTTTTCGAAGTACGTTACTCTCTGGAGGCAGTAACTAAGCGGCGTCACTTCACACATTGTTTAATAGAAAATTAAAATACTTTTCCACTGCTGCTGCTCTTTTTTTGAGCAGCCTGTGTTGTCTCTGCTCTACCCTGTTCTGCTACAGTCCAGATCCAATATCAAATGAAATGTGAAAACTAAGATGAACACAATGGAGAAATTCCAGGGTTGCATCACAAGTTACAGAACAGAAGGAACGAGGAGCACACAGCACAAGATAAGTGATTATTAGGTAAAGCACATTTTGATCGTTAGCTTAATACAGAAAAAATATATAAAAAGTATACGGTGTAAACCTGTGTCCCATTGTTCAAAGATAGTCAAAGTTTATGTCGAGAAATGAGACAGCAGCGGTCGCACCTGTCACCGGTTTTGTTTTGAGTCCTTCCAGATCGACCAAAAGAAGACAAAGCTTTCTATATGATTTGTATCAATGTGCGTAAGGACTTAAAATATAGAAAAGCCTGAGTTTTGGAGCAGTGATGATGAGAAGCTAAAATGTTTGTTAAATTCCAATGTGTTTAAATTGGCCACTTATGTTGGTAAAGCCTGGAAGCGCCGGCAATCCTGTTTATTCAAATACGTTATTTTTGTATCCTGTCATCTGATCCTGTTCTTTATATTGGTGTCTTATGAACCCATGGAAGGGCTGGACATACAATAATAAATAAATATGTATTCAATATTTATATAGATACTGTAGTAACCACAAGTAAGTCACAACAGATAATAATGTTTAGCAGTAAATACAGATTGAACAGGTCCACGGTACAAAATATGGAGGTCAGATTCTACATATACATCTGTAGACAAGTCTGTAATACACTCTACACTGCAAAAAGTGATGGAGATTTGGCTAAATGTATCTGAATTTGAGCACTTTCTAACTGTGCCTTAAATCAAACATTGCCAATGGGACAAATGGGTCAGAATGTGCTCAAATTAAGATAAAAACAGTTCGATTCAAGCTATTATTACATCATTTTTTTCAGTGTAGTGCAAGTAATACGTCATTAGTTCATTGGATGCAAATATTCACAGAGATGAAACTAGTATACACCACACTAGAACACTGTACTGTGTAATCTGCTAACTCACTTGGCCATTGTCTCTAAAGTGACACTTAGTGGTAATCGCCATCGAGCTGAGCCTCAGAGAATGCACTCGGTCACACGTCAGGTCTGTTCCCAAACGCAAAAGGCATGAGTCCTTTTAAGAATAAACCATAAGCTGCAATTTTTACTACAAAAGCGCTCGAGCATCCAGCTCTATCTCTGTGTGTGTCTCTCTCTCTCTCTCTCTCTCTCTCTCTCTCTCTCTCTGTGTGTGTGTCTCTCTCTCTTCCTCTGGGTGTCTTTTTTTTCTTTCTCTATCTCTGGTCTCTTTTCTCTCTCTCTCTCTGGTCTCTTCTCTCTCTCTCTCTCTCTCTCTCTCTGGTCTCTTTTCTCTTTCTCTATCTCTGGTCTCTTTTATCTCTCTCTGGTCTCTCTTTCTCTCTCTCTCTCTCTCTCTCTCTCTGGTCTCTTCTCTCTTTCTCTCTCTCTGGTCTCTTCTCTCTCTTCTCTCTCTCTCTCTCTGGTCTCTTTCTTCTCTCTGGTCTCTTCTTTCTTTCCTCTCTCTCTCTCTCTCTCTCTCTCTCTCTCTCTCTCTCTCTCTCTCTCTCTCTCTCTCTCTCTCCTCTCTCTCTCTCTCTCTCTCTCTCTCTCTCTTTCTTAACCCTTTCTTCCTCTCTTGCCCTCGGCTCATCCCGTTACACATCTCCTCGGGTTCTTTGACCAGCAGCTGCGGTCTCTTTAAGTCCAGATTTCGCTGGCACTGCTGCGCGTCCTCACGGCTCGCCTGGCTCCACTGTGATTGCGCACACACACATACACACACTCTCCCCATAAACAGCTGCTTACTATTTCAGCCACTTCTCCCAAACTTCGCTCTCCACCTCCCCTCCTGGATGATTTCCCCCGTTTTCACACAGAAACTTGGATATAATCGCGAGGAAAGCAAACGAAGCCTGTGTCTTGGGAAGGTTTTCGTGTGCGTAATTCCAACATCTGGATTTTTGGGGCCGACACAAAAACCCTCGGGTGTCTGCTGCGGGATCTCGATGGAAGGAGCGTATCTCGGATTGGGATTTAAACTGGTTGGATCGGCGGAGAGTCGCGCCTAGATTATGTATTCTATAAAATGGGTGCGAACAATGGAAAACCGTACGGAAGCGAGGGTGAGTATTACGCACAAGTCGAGCCATGAGCAGCACGTTTTATTCCCACTCCTCACAGCCGTATCTGCCTGCGCGAACTCTGCGTAATCTTTGTGCGTAAAAGTTGTTCATTGACGCAAAGTTTTTCGCGTTGGATGAAGCATTCGCGCGCCTCACAATGTACACAAACTATATCCCGTCACGTAAAGCTGAGAGGAGTTTTGGCTTTGTCTTAAGTGTTGTGAATGACCCATGGATCCGTTATGAAGCTATACATGCCTGGCTACGGGGGACACCTGGCGGCCACATTCAAGAGATGGCCAACTGTAGCGTTTTAAAGCTGGGGTACTTAACTTTTTAACAAATAAGCTATAGATTTTGCATGTCCCAACAGAAAGGCTCTTGTAAGCGAGACTTTGTGACCAAAACAGACTACAACATTCTGTCTAAAATATGTCATCTTTGGCATGTGTTTGGAAAAGGTGAGGTCGCTATCGGACGTTTCAGGCTGGGAGCTGATTGGCTGAGCTAGAGTGGTCTCTCTGGTTCATGTTTTTGTCTAAAAAGTTGTCTAAAAGATGTGACAGAGGCCAAAACATACATGCATGCAAAAACTGTAGAGCCAAATACTTTGGAGAGCGAGGAACTAGTTATAGATGTATTTAGCAACAGATCTTACTGGACATGTTTTTTGTTCTTATTTTCTCTATTGTAAAATGTATTTGATCTTTGGGAACCTGTAACTTAAGTTATAATATACATATTGAGCAAAGAACTAAACTTCTACTACTATTTTTGATGATCTGGGACATTTATGGACAGTGGTCGTCCCGATGTCCATTCATCCATCCATTTTCTTCCGCTTCATCCGTTGCCGGTTCGTGGCTCCTATGTGTTTGTTGTTATTGCTTGATTTTCCGTTCTGTTGTTGGTGAATCGACAACTTTGTAAAGTCCTCAGAGACCACTGCTGCTGCGATTTAGGTCTACACACAAACATATTGAAATGAATGGAATTGAATTAAGTGTGTTTTGAAACATTTTTACATTTCTATAACGTTATACACACAACATGGAGTTTGTATTTATAAGTTTATATACAGTAGTGACAGTAATGCAGATTATAGGACAGGGAGAAGGAAAAGCTCTTATATAATTGAGATTCTGACTGCAGCAGTGTTGTGTGTCTGCTGTAATAGAGTAACGAAGCGGGTTGTGGGTTCAAAGCTGCGTCAGTAGTAAGTCACAAGACTAAAGTATCCGTGGCAAATGAATGGTCACGCTTGTCTGTCTGTTAGCTGTTGCCATTAACTGTAGAAAACTCCAGTTAAAATGGGGACTGGGGGGAGAGGGATTAATAATGGTGTGTGTCAGTCATTGGCCAGGTCTGGGTAGTGGTTGGATGGGAGACCGCTGAGAATGTGTTAAAGTGAGAAGGCTATAGCTCTGTAAATGTAAAGTTATTGTTACCCTGTTTTAGAAAGATCCTGGGTGTAGGTATCACACAGAAAGGGTGGGATTCGACTTTTATTACGCTCTCAGCTCCCCATCATAACCCAGTGAACACCTGAAGTGTACATGACCTTATCACTGTCATATCCATACGCACACAAAATAGGTCCCAGCCAGATGTGTAAAACATGTCATAGACAGATATAAAACCCCCCTGCTTTACTTTGTCCAGTTTGGCAAGACGCATCATCTACGCTGCTATATACATTGTTTGTGAATGGGCGGTCTGAGGGGCTGATGGAGCAGATAGACAGCCTGGCTATAGTTCGTCTGCCCCAGGTCAGCTGTGGCTATAGTAGTAGGAGGGTCAAGTGAGTGTGCGTAGAACTATCCCAGACAAATACCCATTTATGTCTACTAAAATGGCCTACTCTCAGAAAAAAACTAAACACTTCAGAATGTGCTCAAATGAACTTATTCTTTAGCTAAATTGTAGCAATTTTTAAATACTTTTTGCCGTGTAAATAATCACCAAAGCCTGTCAGTCCTATAAAAAATCCTGAGGCTTATTGGAAGAAAAGTAGTTTTAGGACATTCAGCTGCTCCCACTGCAGACTGAGAGCTCCCTGTCTGCTCTTATGCTTAAATATTGATAAAAATCTCTCTGAGTGGGATTGAAGGTGGAGGAATGTATCGCTCTCCTCCACATCTAATCTGCAGAATTACTTATTCACAAGAAGTCCACAAAACAGAAGTGTTTGGATACATAACATTCCAGAGCGCTCGCTTTCAAAGTCAATAACTGCAGAGAAAAAGATTGGATCTCTGTATAGTTGGAATAACATTTGGACAAGCTCCGCCCCCCCATGGATCCAGGCTCCGCCCCCATGGATCCAGGTTCACTTATTAGGTCTATATCCTACATGAAAAAAACAAAGTGGTTTGAATAAATTTGTATGGATGATATGGTGATTGGCTGAGATCATTGTGCTGCGTGCTTATTGGCTAGGATCATTGTGCTGCGTGCTGATTGGCCCGGGGTCATTGATGCCATTGTTGTTGCGCATTGCTCTGATACTGGCAACAAATATAAATATATTATTCACAGGGATGGGAATGTATACGTTGTTTTTTCTTCCCGCTCTTTTTCAAGTTTGAATCTCATACAATATTATAATAAATGATCATTGTTAAATAATGATATGTAAGAAAATTCTATAACATTCTGATAATAATGTTTGATCTAAAATGCACTCAAAATTAACACTCAATGACTTATGGACTTACGACATCGCCAGAGTGTTAGCCGATTTGAGCATAAGCTAGCTGAAGCCATTTTCCTTATATGACCGTTTGTTCTGAAGGTGTTCGCTTCATGCCGCAACAGGGGCAGACGGCTTGCTAACATGGTTGCTAACATGGTTGCTAAGGCAAGCTGGAGTTTCCCCCTTGAATGAAGGCATTTGATTGGTCAATCCTTCCATGGCTCATATCTGGATTTACAAAAACAAGATCCCAATATAAACACCAGGATCACGGCGGGCGCTAAAATATGCATTTTTAAGCCCTAAATGGTGAGTGTGACAAAAACAGTTACTGAGCTGGAGGAGTTTACTTTTATATGTAAGTCAATAGGAGCCAGAGAGAGAGAACAAGTGCTTTTCTATAGGGCGTCTTTGAGCTAGTGGGTTAGCATTGTCCATCTGTATACAGGCTATGGAATCAACTGATGGACCCCACTATCACTGCGATGATAGAGATTGACAGATTTTAGCAATAGGGCTGATTCTTATTTTAAACGTTATTAGTAGGAGCCTTCAGGGAGGGTTCACATGATATCGCAACCTTCAACTGCCCATGAAATTGAGCTTGAGGCTAGTACTAGTTTCTGTAGATAAAATTGTACTGGAACATTCTTGATTTTAAAGTACTGTACATGCATTTTACTGGTTAGTATTTAAGATTATAGCCAAAGAAAAAACCTTTCCTTGCAGACTGATAAGAGAAGCTATTAGACAGGCTTTCTCTCACTGTTTATAGGCCGCGGTTTTCCTGTGTTTTTGTTTTTAAATCTGACTTTAATGTGTGAAGCGCTTTGTGATTCTGGTCTGTGAAATGCGCTATACAAATAAGCTTTACTTAAATACAGTTTTGAGGTGGTTAGTGTGCAGGTGTCATGAGGTGAAAGAAAAAACAGAACCACTAATGCAGGATTGTGGTGTAAAGCAATCCAGGTTTAAAATAATGTGGGATAGACAATGGACGCACAGCAGGTGGGCAAAATACTATTCAATACACAATACAATTTATTCTTGTACTGGGTATAAATACACAGAAGCACTTTAGGACGAGGCCAACAATCAACGGGGCAGGAAGGAGAAGTCAAAAAGGCAAGACAACAGAAGACTTAACAAAAGAAAGTTCAACATGATACTCAATAATAATCAATATTTGTTGCGGTTTCTTTCTATTGTCTTTTATATGGATCATGCGTCTGGAATAAAGATTTATTATTATGTATATTGACATTTGGTGAGACTTGGGAAAATGAAAATATTCACTCTTGTTGTCGTTGTGATTTGAAAACAGAAAAACTTCAGAATCTCCAAACTATGGCCAACATTTCTTCCTGGGCGAGTTAAACCGTGCGAGCTACAATAGCGTATTTCGTCTTCTTTAAAATGACAAAAGATCGCCTTCTGGTTTCAATCCGTTCTGTACAAGTGAAACGATATCCCCTCATTTATGTTCCCTTTCGTTGTGAATTATGGATATCCACGGGGCTCATTCTTAAGGGTCCAAATGACATTCTGCGGTGACATCACTGGAACAGCACATCTGCTTTTGCTTCCCCCTGAGCCGGGAGAAGTGACGGGGAGATTCATAAGGAGCTCGCAGATGTTGCAGCGGAGGTCAGCCGGGTTTGAGGCGGAGCTGGAGGTGCGTGCGCCCGCTATTGTTGTTGAAGAGTCACTAAAGTTAAACTGGAGTCGAGCAGAGACCTGTCTTTTGTTTCCTGGATTGGTTGCTTTGATGCACACATGTCTATTATACATGTATGTGCAGTACTTGTATTAGATATGGGGCGATATATATTGGGCCCCGATATATATTGGGTGGCTGAGTGGATAGCACTCTCGCTTCTCAGCAAGAAGGTCCTGGGTTCGAATCCCGGTCGGACCAGGGCCTTTCTGAGTGGAGTTTGCATGTTCTCCCCGTGTCTGCGTAGGTTTCCTCCGGGTACTCCGGTTTCCCCTACCACTAAAAATATGTCCAATAGTTCTGGCATGCGCCTCCTGTACTGGCCCCTCCCATCTCTGTGTGGAGTGAGAGACAAAATGCCCAAAAATTAACAATTGTAAACCGCTTTGAGACTCAGATCTGCAGTGAAAAGGCGGTATATAAATAAAGATTACTGATTACTGAGATATTAGTTATATTTGTATGCATACCTTTATTTCTCTTACTGTATTTTTTGGATTATAAGTCGCACCAGCCAAAAATGCATTGGCCTTTGAGTCTGAAGGTTGTGGGTTCGTTCCAGAGGGGGCAGGTCCTGGCTCAAAAGTGGCCAAAATGACGTGCGCTGACATGCTTGCTATACCACCCCGGGCCTGTGGGGGTGGACCTGGAATAAGAATTATTCAGTGCTAACTTATAGCATTAGCTGACCTCTCGAAGACGTCTTTACAGGATGGTCCAAAAGTCGGCTCTTGGCCCAAAGCTCAGTTCCACATGTGTGTCAATGCTGAGGGGGGTGGATTTTTTTTGGCCTGGTCTAATTTAGTCGCTGTGAATTTTTGAAGTCACTTGTTAAATGAATGGGGCTCGGAGATAGGCGTCCGTTAATATTTACAGTCTATGGTTGGAGCCCACCGCGAGACCTTCTCCATCGTCTCCCATTGCTGTCTGCTGTCATTGTGTCTATGGGCAAGACACTTTCCCCCCCCCTTGGCCTATAAGGAGCGTGGAAGTGAAATGACTCTTCATCAAACTGAATTTCTCCATTGTGAGATCAATAAAGTATCTCTTCTTCTTCTATAATCGCATTTTTTGAGGAAATGTATTTTATAAAAATTAAAAACACCAAGTAAAGACATTTTATCTTAAGTCAATTTCACTGTTGATTATCTGTGAGATGCAGTTTTGATAAAGAGTAGGAGCAACACAACAGAAGCTACAGTCCTAAATTACAGTACTGGTTAATGTCTTTATTCTTTGGGATCTTCTTCATTACTTAATTGCTCAACTCAACAGCCGGGGCTATTATTTTATATTTTACGGTAAATAAAATGTAATACTTTCACACATGGGTCGCTCCAGAGTATAAAGTCATACTCTCGGCCAAACTAAGACAAAAACCTTGACAGAAAAATACAGTATATCTATGTTTTTACTTTTTTGTAACTTATTTGCACCATGAGCCAAATCAAATTCCTAGTTTGTGACTTCCTGTTACTTACAATGTCAATAAAAAATAATTCTGATTCTGATTGACGTCATAGATTTACAGCCCTAAAATTAAAGCTGGGATACCTAACTTTTGTCTCATAATCAATACATAACATGCTGCGTTCGTCTTTCTAGAAATCGCTTTAGCAGACGTAAGAAAGAGCCCTGAGAGTCACTTTTTGATGCTTTGGGCTGAGAGCTGATTGGTGGAGTGAGGGCGGTCCTCTCTCTTTTACTTTTCTGTCTAAAAAAGTGGGTGTGACGGAAGATGGAACCAGTTAGATAGATTGTAATTACATATAGTTCCATTCTCTGTGCTTTGAAAGTGAATTAGTCCAGCTTGAAGTGACATTAGTTACTCATTTCATTCCCCATTTTCCAGAAAACCTTGACTCATGCCTTTCTGTCGGTGCAGAGAGTGGGCCACATGTGTATCCAGGACACACAAGGACAGTATGAAAGCCTGGAGTCTGTCGTGGAGGTTGTGGATCAGGTTCCATGTCCTCTCTGACTACTCTCTGATGGTCAAGCTGCACATTCTTCTTGGCAAAAAGCCTCCAGTTCTTGTAAATTCCTGGGATGCCTTTCATGAACTCCCAAGAGCGGCTCCATGATGTTATGATTTTAGAATAGATTATAACATTGTATAACGCCACCCCCCCCCCCCCCCTGCTTTCAGATTGTACAAAACTCATTCATATCCATCAAGCCTCTCACCATTGGTTCATCTATTCTCCTCCAGCAAAATGTGTCCAGTGGTTATCCTAAATTATGCAGCTAAAGTAACTTTAATATTTCATTTCATTAATCCATGAAAGGGAAGTTATGAACATCACCTGTAAAACACAAAGTAGACCATGTGTGTAGCACCTATAACCAAATATTTCTGCATTTGTTTCACACATATTTGAAGGATTGTGTAATGTTTATGTTCTGTTTTGGCAGCAGTGTGATAACTAGAGGTTGTGACAGTGTAGGAGTTGGATGGTACATACTTGGGTTTGAGGAGAACCACAAAGACACAGCTCTGTGCGAGACGCAGACAGTCAACGGTTACAACAGGAGACCCAAGTTCACTCTTTGATGCTTGAATCTAATAAACATAGAGTTGATGTTGTAAATTGGAAAGGCTTTCCTCGTTCTACAGACTGAGTTCTGGATCTACAGCCTCAGTTCTGGATCTACAGCCTCAGTTCTGGGTCTACAGCCTCAGTTCTGGATCTAAAGCCTCAGTTCTGGGTCTTCAGCCTCAGTCCTGGGTCTACAGCCTCAGTCCTGGGTCTGCATCCTCAGTCCTGGATCTACAGCCTCAGTTCTGGATCTACAGCCTCAGTCCTGGATCTACAGCTTCAGTCCTGGATCTACAGACTGAGTCCTGGATCTACAGCTTCAGTCCTGGATCTACAGACTGAGTCCTGGATCTACAGCCTCAGTCCTGGATCTACAGCCTCAGTTCTGGATCTACAGCCTTAGTCCTGGATCTACAGCCTCAGTTCTGGATCGACAGCCTCAGTCCTGGATCTACAGCCTCAGTCCTGGGTCTACAGCCTCAGTTCTGGGTCTACAGCCTCAGTCCTGGGTCTACAGCCTCAGTTCTGGGTCTACAGCCTCAGTCCTGGATCTACAGCCTCAGTTCTGGATCTACAGCCTCAGTCCTGGATCTACAGCCTCAGTCCTGGGTCTACAGCCTCAGTCCTGGATCTACAGCCTCAGTCCTGGATCTACAGCCTCAGTCCTGGGTCTACAGCCTCAGTCCTGGATCTACAGCCTCAGTCCTGGATCTACAGCCTGTCTGTCAGTGGGAGTGGATCTCTCTCTCTCAATGTGGACTCCTTCGAGGTTTCTCACTTTTTCCCTCTGAGTTTTTGACTCGTTTCTTGCCGATGCAGGAGGTACATATGAACATTGGACATCCTGCTCCCTATGGACCAATGCCGTGTTTTTTATTTTTTATTTTGACGACTGCGGTTGTGATTTAGGGCTATATACAGTAAAAAGCCTTATTGAAGTTGTATTTGGAAGAATTGAATACGGTTATAAGCATTCTGTTTCTTACACCGACAATATAAGTACTTTTCTGATTCTGGATCTGATCTCAGACTTAACATCAGTCATCTGTTCTACAACACAAGAGGTCTGGAGTGTGGGCAGTGCTGACTCATCAGGCAAATCCACTGATGACTCAATGTGACTTTCTTCCTGCTGTCTTCTTGGATTTGTTTTATCCATCGTTTCCATTGTCGGCCATCTTGTTTTTGTTTTTTTTCTTTTGGTTTCCAGTCAAGAAAAAGCATTTGTATTCTTAAAAAAACCACCAATACTACCACTACTGCTACCACTGGATTTATGGATCCCTATATACATTGTTTGCTGCTACTGCTGCTGCTACTACTACTACTACTACTACCACCACCACTAATGTTGTGCATTTGTCAGGCATAGAAGAACTAAATAACTTCAAACTACTAAGTAATCTTAACAACATTGGTTTTTGAGTTGGAGTTACATGAGTTACAGTAAATGCTTCCACTTTTTTGCTCCCATTCAGATTTTAGACGAGAATTGGACCAGCAGTGCGTGCATCATTTGGAAACGTCAGCTCAATTGTTGTGTGTGATTTTACATGTATTTGAATAAGTGATTCCAATTGGACGAGGGCTTTTATCTGGTTTGGCCTGTTGTCCTTGTAAACGTACGGATTGAAACGCCAAAAGAGCGGTTACAACGGCTTCCAGACAAACTTACTCCGAAAACTCAAACTCACCACAATCGTTCTTGAACTATTTCCTCTTGAAAAGGATAAAAAAAAGTGAAATTTTGAGACATTTTTGACCCTAACTTTTCTTGTTGCGTCCACAGGTAAGTGCAGCTCGAGTATCTCCTCTGACATCAGCTCCAGCACAGACCACACTCCGACCAGAGCTCCCAAGAATGTGACCACTTCTGAGGGTAAGAGAGACAGCTGCAGCTCATTAACACTGCTCCCAGACTATTCAACTACTACTACTTATACTAGTACTACTGCTAATACTAGTAAGTACGTGAGTAATGTGTATTTATATCGCGCATTTCACAGACCAAGGTCAGCCAAAGCACTTTACAATTGTTCAGATTTTTCCTTCTCTCCGCACGGTGATGACGGAAGCGAAAGACAAAGACACTGGCTCCGACCAAACACCATCCATTCACTCATCACATACATGTTATTAGTGGTAGAAGAAACCGGAGCACCCGGAGGAAACTTACGCAGACATAGGGAGAACATGCAAACTCCACTCAGAAAGGCCCTGTTCCGACTGGGATTTTTAGTACTACTACAACTACTACTTCTACTGCTAATTCTACTACTACTGCTGCTGCTACTGCAGTTACTACTACTACTACTACTGTCATACCACTACTATTACTCCAACTACTACTTCTACTACTACCACAACTACCACTACTAATATTACCCCCTCTCACTCAGCCCTTCCCTCTCCCACCTCCTCTCTCTGCTCTCCCTCTCTCTCCCCTCTCTCTGCTCTCCCTCTCTCTCCCCTCTCTGCTCTCCCTCTCTCTCCTCCTCTCTCTGCTCTCCCTCTCTCTCCCCTCTCTGCTCTCCCTCTCCCTCCTCCTCTCTCTGCTCTCCCTCTATCTCCCCTCTCCCTCCTCCTCTCTCTGCTCTCCCTCTATCTCCCCTCTCCCTCCTCCTCTCCCTCCCCTCTCTCTCCTCTCCCTCTGCTCTCCTCTCCCTCTCCTCTCCCTCTCCCTCCCCTCTCTCCTCTCCCTCCCCCTCTCTCTCCTCTCCCTCTCCTCTCCCTCTCCCTCCCCTCTCTGCTCTCCCTCCCCTCTCCCTCCCCTGTCACTGCTCTCCCTCTCCCCTCCCTCTCCCTCCCCTCTCTCTGCTCTCCCTCTCCTCTCCCTCTATCTCCCCTTTCCCACCTCCTCTCTCTGCTCTCCCTCTCTCTCCCCTCTCCCTGCTCTCCCTCTCTCTCCCCTCTCCCTGCTCTCCCCCCTCTCTTTGCTCTCCCTCTCTCTCCCCTCTCTCTGCTCTCCCTCTCCCTCCCCTCTCCCTCTCCCACCTCCTCTCTCTGCTCCCCCTCTATCGCCCCTCTCCCTCCCCCTCTCTCTGCTCTCCCTCCCCTCTCTGCTCTCCCTCTCCCACCTCCTCTCTCTGCTCCCCCTCTCCCTC